CCCCCCCCCCCCCCCCCCCCACACACACACACACACACACACCCACAGCTCCCCCCCGCCCAATCTACATTGAACTCAAGAATATACACAAAATTATACACTGGTCACATAAATATATGCTCAACACAAATATACAAAATGCACAAAAATACGCACTGTACAAATGTACACACAAATGCACCAGAATACCCAAATCTACATTACGCTCAAATATACACACACAAAAATACACAATACAGTACACAAATACACACGTGGAAATACATACCCAGGCGTGCACACAGTGCATCTTGCAGATAGTACACACTGCTGCTACTCAGCGTCAGTGGTGGAGGGAGTGGACACTTGTGGATGTGGTGCCAATCAAGCGGGCTGCTTTGTCCTGGATGGTGTCAAGATTCTTGAATGTTGTTGGAACTGCACCCATCCAGGCAAGTAGGGTCTATTCCACCAACTACTGACTTGTGACCTCTAGATGGCAGACGGGCTTTGGGGAGTCCATCACTGTCGAGGCACCTCTTAATGATGCACACTGGAGTGTGATTTATAATCATCTAGAAAGGAATAATTTGATTAGGGATAGTCGACACGGTTTTGTGAAGGGTAGGTCGTGCCTCGCAAACCTTATTGAGTTCTTTGAGAAGGTGACCAAACAGGTGGATGAGGATAAAGCGGTTGATGTGGTGTATATGGATTTCAGTAAAGCATTTGATAAGGTTCCCCACGGTAGGCTATTGCAGAAAATACGGAGGCATGGGATTGAGGGTGATTTAGCGGTTTGGATCAGAAATTGGCTAGCTGTAAGAAGACAGAGGGTGGTGGTTGATGGGAAATGTTCATCCTGGAGTTCAGTTACTAGTGGTGTACCTCAAGGATCTGTTTTGGGGCCACTGCTGTTTGTCATTTTTATAAATGACCTGGATGAGGGCGTAGAAGGATGGATTAGTAAATTTGCGGATGACACCAAAGTCGGTGGAGTTGTGGATAGTGCGGAAGGATGTTGCAGTTTACAGAGGGACATAGATAAGCTGCAGAGCTGGGCTGAGAGGTGGCAAATGGAGTTTAATGCGGAAAAGTGTGAGGTGATTCACTTTGGAAGGAGTAACAGGAATACAGAGTACTGGGCTAATGGTAAGATTCTTGGTAGTGTGGATGAGCAGAAAGATCTCGGTGTCCGTGTGCATAGATCACTGAAAGTTGCCACCCAGGTTGATAGCGTTGTTAAGAAGGCTTACAGTATGTTAGGTTTTATTGGTAGAGGGATTGAGTTTTGGAGCCATGAGGTCATGTTGCAGCTGTACAAAACTCTGGTGTGGCTGCACTTGGAGTATTGCGTACAGTTCTGGTCACCGCATTATAGGAAGGATGTGGAAGCATTGGAAAGGGTGCAGAGGAGATTTACCAGGATGTTGCCTGGTATGGAGGGAAGGTCTTATGAGGAAAGGCTGAGGGTCTTGAGGCTGTTTTCGTTAGAGAGAAGAAGGTTAAGAGGTGACTTGATAGAGACATACAAGATGATCAGAGGATTAGATAGGGTGGACAGTGGGATCCTTTTTCCTCGGATGGTGATGGCTAGCACGAGGGGACATAGCTTTAAATTGAGGGGTGATAGATATAAGACAGATGTCAGAGGTAGGTTCTTTACTCAGAGAGTAGTAAGGGCGTGGAATGCCCTGCCTGCAAAAATAGTAGACTCGCCCACTTTAAGGGCATTTAAATGGTCATTGGATAAACATATGGATGATAATGGAATAGTTTAGGTTAGATGGGCTTCAGATTGGTTTCACAGGTCGGCGCAACATCGAGGGCCGAAGGGCCTGTACTGCGCTGTAATGTTCTATGTTCTATGGAGTGCTCCTATTCAGAATACACCCTGCGGCCCTTTGCTTCCCTTAGTGCTTCTTCCAATTGGGGTTCAATATTGAGGAGTACTGTTTCATCAACTCAGTTGGGAATCAGTAGGAAGATTCCATACCTCTGTTTGACCTGATGCCATAAGACTTTGTAAGCTCTAGGGTCATTGTATGTGCCTCTGGTGGAATGGTGATGGAGGAGTCTGGGATTTTGACTCAAAGTTAAATGCTTTGTACTTTTCCACATTTACAGCAGCATCTTGTATTTGCATGGAGCTTTTAAACTTAGACGATACCCCACTGTGCTTCATAGAACCACAGTCAAAAACTGGCTGTCAATCCCTCACACATTTTATTGTGTTCAGTTGATACCTTCCTCCCCTGTAGGCCTGTACCATTGCTGGGAATTAGTTTGTATTAAACTGCACTGTACTCTCACCCATGAAGGTGACTTGAGAACGAAAATGAATCTGATTAGAATCCTATTGCATCAACAATTCTACATGTGACACAGGATGTTATCAGCCACTGCAGTTCTGTGTGATTGAGGTTGCTTTGCATTAATCAGTTTTTCGTTTCCCCTCCAGCAAGGCCCAGTTTGTCCAAAGTCTTGCCAACAAGAAGGATGTGGTCACCCGGAATTATGACAGTCGGATCGTCCAGATCCTGAATGAGACTGGTGCAGATCAGGAAAGATCATTTCACAAGTGGACACAAAAGGTACAACTTCCAACCTGCAATGACACTGCTTCTCTGAGCTTTCTGATGCTGGCTTCTGTTTAGCGCCTATTGTGGGTTAAATGCCACATGCTTTAGATTCTGTCAGCTCCAAAAGCCCTCGATGAAATGGATGCTGAATAATTCGCTGCTGGTGAGCAGATTGATGCCAGGCATTGAAGCGAACGGTGGAATCTGTACAGGGCAGAAAGAGGCCATTCAGCCCATCAAGTCGGCCATCATCACTCTGAAGAGCATTCCACCCAGACCCAGCACCGACCGCCACCACCCCTCCCCCCGCCCAACTTGGTAACGCTGAATTTCCCATGGCTAATCCACCTAGCCCGCATATCTTTGGACCGTGGGAGGAAACTGGAGTATCCGGAGGAAACCCACGCAGACACGGGGAGAACAGTCACCCAAGACTGGAATCTGTATGTAGTACTCCAGTTGAGGTCTAACTAGTGATCTATACAAGTTGAGCATAAATACCCTGTTCCTGTACAGTATGCTCCTATTAATGAAGCCTAGGATGGTGTATGCTTTGTTATCTGCTCTCTCTATCTGTGATGCCACATTGAGTGACTTATGCACATATACACCCAGGTTCCTGCTCCTGCTCACTCTTTAGAATAGTACCCTCTATCTCCCCATTTTCTTTGTACCAAAATATGTCTCCTCTGCGTTGAATTTTATCTTCAATCTATCTGCCCATTGGCTATCATGCCAGTGGTCTTTTGGAGTTCTCCACTGCCGTCCAGACAGTTGATAATTTTCCCACATTTTCTGTTATCCGCAAATGTTGCAATTGTCCCCCGCACAGCAAAATCTAGATCATTTACGTAAATCAGACAAAGCAAGGGTCCTGATACTGACCCAAGACTTGCCAATCTTCAGCCAATTCGATTCACTCCACATAATATAATGGTTGGTGATACTGGACACTGCAAAGGTTATGGGCCCCGACAGCATTTGGACTATAGTACTGAAGACTTGTGCTCCAGAGCTTGTCGTTCCTTTAGCCAAGCTGTTCCAGTACAGTTACAACACTGGCACCTACCTGTCAAGGTTGCAAATTGTCCAAGTATGCCCTGTACACACAAAACAGCACAAATCCAACCTGGCCAGTTACTGCCCCATGAGTCTCCTCTCGATCATCAAAAAAGCGATGGAAGGTATCAGCAACAGTGCTATCAAGCAGCGCCTGCCCAGCAATAACCTGCTCAGTGACGCCCAGTTTGGGTTCCGCCAGGCCACTCAGCTCCAGACCTCATTACAGCCTTGGTTCAAACATGGACAAAAGAGCTGAATTCCAGAGGTGAGGTGAGAGTGACAGCCCTTGACATCAAGGCTTCATTTGACGGAGTGTGAGGAGCCCTAGGAAAACTGCTGTTAATAGGAATCGGGCAAACTCTGCTGGTTGGAGTCATACCTGACACATAGGAAGATGATAACACTGTGGAGCTGGGGGAGCACAGCAGGCCAGGCAGCATCAGAGGAGCCGGAAAGCTGACGTTTTGGGTCGGGACCCTGCTTCAGAAATGGGGTTTCTAACCCAAAATGTCAGCTTTCCTGCTCCTCTGATGCTGCCTGGCCCGCTGTGTTCCTCAAGCCCCACACTGCGTTACCTCTGACTCCAGCATCGGCAGTTTTTACTATCATGTAGGAAAATGGTTGTGGTCGTTGGAGATGAGTCATCTCAGCTCCAGGACATCTCTACAGGAGTTCCTCAGGGTGATGCCCAAACCCAAGCATTCTTCAGCATCTTCATCAATGGCCTTCTCTCCGTTGTAAGGCCAGAAGTGGGGCTGTTCACTGATGATTGCGCAATGTTCAGCACCATTTGTGACTCCTCAGATACTGAAGCAGACCATGTTCAAATGCAGCAACACCTGGACAATACCAAGGTTTGGGCTGACAAGTGGCAAGTATTACTTACAACACACTGAAGCCTCCAACACCACCTCAAGGGCAACTAGGGATGGGCAATAAATGCTGGCCAGCCAGCGACCTCTCTCTTCCCCCCCCCCCCGCCCCATGAGTGAACCTTGATTAAAAACTGAGGAATTCCACTACTAACTATTCAGCCTGAAAAATGTCCGTGAATTCTCCTTCCCCTAAGCTAATTTGTATCCATGTTGCTACTGTTTTGTTTATTCCATGAGTTATCACTTTCCTGTTATATCTGTTGTGCGGCAATGCATCAAATGTCTTCAGGAAGTCCCTATACACCACATCCACAGCATTGCTCTCATCAACTCTCTCTCTCTCACCCTCAAAAAAAAAAAAAAATTCTGTTAAGAAATCATCTCTTTGGAATTAACCCACATTTTCCTTTAATTTGTTTCAAGGAGTTCCCCGTTGCTGAAGTTAAACTGATCGGTCTGTAACTACTGGGATTATCCTTACAACCTTTGTTTTTGAACAAGGGGAAATTGTTTGCAGCTCTCCAATTCTCCATCACCTCCCCAAGAATGGGGAAGACTGAAAGATTGTGCCAGTGCCTCTCTGATTTCCACTGTCACTTCCTTTAGTCTTCTTGGATCATTTAGCTCCAGTGCCCTCTCACCTTTAAATAATACGGTGTATCCAAGCCCCTCCTTATCAGTTTTAAACCTTTCTAATGACCGAGGTTCCTCCTTTGTTACCATAGCCTGGGCAGCATCTCCTTCCTTGGGAAAGACGGACTCAAAATATTCATTTAATATCTCAGCCATGTTCCCTGCCTCTGTGTGTAAATCTCATTGGTTGTTTCTAATTGGCCCAACTCTTCCGTTTTTTTGCTGTTTATGTGTTCAGTCGAAGACATTGGGATTCCTCTTTAAATGAGCTGGCAGTCTTTATCCTTAACCTCACTTTGCTATTCTAGTTTATGTTTTCATCTCCTTTCTGAACCTTCTGCATTTAACTTGGCTCTCAGTTATATTTTCTACTTGACGTCTGTCGTAAATACATTTTTTTTCTTCTTAATCTCTATCTCCTTTTGCATTCTGGAAGCCTTTAATTTGTTTTTCATGCCTTCTCCTTTTGAATGAATATACCTCAACTGTTCCCTCCTTTTGAAGGTAACCCATTGCTCAGCTACTGTTTCTCTTGCCAATCTGTGAATCCAGTCTATCCAATCCAGCTCTGCTCTTGCCCTGTTGACCTCAGTTCTCTCCCGGTTAATTATTCTGACTCTGGACGTTCATAAAGTCATACAGCATGGAAACAGACCCTTCGGTCCAACTGGTCCAGGCTGACCATAATCCCAATCTAAACCAGTCCCACCTGACTGCACTTTGCTCATATCCCTCCAAACGTTTCTTATTCATGTACCTATCCAAATGTCTTTTAAATGTTCTAACTTACCCGAATGCTTCACATCCTCTGGAAGTTTATTCCATACACGAACCGCTCTGTGCTTTAAAAAAAAAAGCCACTTGTATCTTTTTAAAATCTCTCTCCTCTCACCTTAAAAATATGCCCCCTAGTCTTGAAATCCCCCGCCCTAGAGAACAGACACCTGCCATTCACCTTATCTATACCCCTAGTGACCCATAAGGTCACCCCTCCACCTCTTAGCCTTCAGTGAAAGAAGTCCCAGCTTATCCAACCTCTCCTTATAACTCAAACCCTCCATTCCTGGCAACATCCTGGTAAATCTCTGAACCCTCTCCAGTATAGTAATACCCTTCCTATAACAGGGTGGCCAGAACTGCACACAGTATTCCAGAAGAGGCCTCACCAATGTCCTGTACAACTCAAAGGTCTGAGCAATGAAGACAAGCGTGCTAAATGCCTTCTTAACCACCCTATCTATATGCAAACTTAAAAGAATTAGGTATTGGAATTCCTTTGCTCTTTTTTTTTTTAATACCTTCCTAAATGTCTTCAACAATCACTGTTCTCCAAGTGCCTCCCCATGACACTTAATCTACTTGGTCAATCTCGTTGCCAAGATCCAGATCTAGCAGGATCTCCTCTCTTGCTGGACATGATGCACTCTGCTGTCAAAAACCTGCCTCAATCTAGGAGTGCTTGCTCCTCTCTGCCCTTCACACCGCTACTATCCCGGTCTATATTTGGATAATTAAAGTCTCCCATTATAACGACTCTACGATGTGTGCACCTCTCTGTAAATTCCTTGCAGACTTGTTCCTCTACATCCTTCCCACTAGTCGGTGACCTATAGACTGCACTAAGCAATCTGCATCTTTTTTGTTCCTTATCTCGAGCCAAATCCATTCAAGTTCTTGACACCTCTGGGACATCCTCTTTCTCCAGGTCTGCACTGATCTCCTTAACCCATTCCCACCATCCCTCACCGTTTTTACCCCCTTTTCCTATCTTCCTGAACACTTTGTATCCAGGAACGTTTAATACCCAGTGCTGTCCTTCTTTCAGTCTGGTCTGTATTAGAGCCACAACATCCGATCTCCACTTAGCAATCTGTGTCTGTAACACCCCAATCTTATTGACCATTTAGTCTGTTTTCCCCCTCAATCAGATCCCATAATTGGCAAAGGCAGCTAAAAGCCTGGTCATTAAATAATTTCAGCAAATCTGGAGACCCGGTGAGGTTGAGAAGAATCAGAAGGAGCAGTCACATCATTTGCATTACGTGCAGGGTACAAGACACAACAACCAGTGCCCAGGTCTCCAGGAAGCCCTTAGTGCTCGGCTCCTGGGCTGAAGAGCAAGAGCGGGGCCTGTAATCTCTTGACACTATCCCTGTCCCTGATTTGTGTGTCCTCTCTGATGGAGACCATTGTGAAATCCATAGTCAAGATCACCACTTCCTGGCCTGGAGAAGCAAGAACATGCAGAGCTCGTGCTAATAGCCTGAATGGGACAGAGGAGCAAGCAAGGTGAATTTAATCAATAGATAAAACAAACTCTGCTGTTCATTTCCTTCCAGGTCGACCCCGTTCTCCTAAATGACATGAACAAAAAACAAGGCAAGAATAAAGAATATAAGGATGCCACCAGTGACCTCCTGAAATTCATAAGAAACCTCATCCAGCACTTCGATGAAAAGAAAGAGTATGTGAACAATACTTGGTGACAATATTTTTGTGCTTTTTCAATTTTTTTTTATCGATTCAGAGCAGGAAGAGTCTTTCTTTCTCTTTCCCTCCTTGAAACTCTTATTGAGATTCTCAAGCCCAGCAACAATTCACGTGACGGGTTGAGGGGATTGTCTAATGATCGAGAGAGGGGACTGGGGCAAGATTCCCTGGAATTTAGAAAGATGGGAGGAGGTTTCACTGAAACATTGTAAAATTCTCCAGGGCCCTGACAGTAGAGTTTGGAAGGGTATGCCCCTACTTGGGGATTCTAGAGCAGAGGCACAGTCTGGAAATAAAGGGTTGGATGTTTACAACAGAGACGAGGAATGGGTGGCACAGTGGTTAGTACTGCTGCCCCAGAGTGCCAGGGATGCGGGTTTGATTCCACCCTCAGGCAACTGTCTTTGTGGGTTTCCTCCCACAGTCCAAAGATGTGCAGGCTAGGTGGATTGGCCATGGGAAATGTAGGGTTAGCATGGGGGGGTGGGTCTGGGTGGGCTGAATGGCCTTCTTCCGGATTGTAGGGATTTGATATTACTGTGGGTCTGGAGTCACATGGTCAATCAGTATGGGCAAGGACAGCAGTCTAAAGGACATTAGTGGGCCCAATGGGATTCTCCCCCAGCAATGGTCATCATTAAACTCTTAATTCCAGATTTTTATTGAATTTAAATTCCACTCCATGCCTTGCCAGGATTTGAACGCAGGTCCCCAGAACATTACTTGGGTGTCTGGATTAAGAGTCTAGTGATGAGACCTCTCGGCCACTGCCTCTCCACGTATGGATGATCTCCATCTTGAATTTATTAAAATGAATAAGCATCAACGGCTCTCTTGGGAATGAGCATCATAAAGATATTCATAGAATCTCTACAATGTGGAAGCAGGCCATTCAGCCCATCCCACCTCTCCAATGCGCATCCCACCCAGACACACTCCCCTACCCTACCCTATACAAGGATACCCTCACTTGATTCTTTACCGCTCTCTGCGCAATAAATGCTGGCATACCCAATCCTGTAAATGAATTAAGAAAAGATCAGTCAAGTTTTGGATAGGAAGGCGATTAGGAGCTAGAGGAGCAGTGCAGGAATCCGGAGTGAGAGGTAGCAGATCAGCTCAAAATAGCCAGTCAGACTTCACTGCTTAAATGGGCTCTATTCTTTAACGTTCCTGTCTGGTGTAAAGTTGAGTTTTGCTGAGAAGCAGTACCACATGCTGAGTTAATGACAGAGGGAAGCAGAATACAGTCTTCACTCACTTCCTGCCAGGAGTTATTGCAGAGTATGAACCCTGACCTCACTTCATCCATTGATGTCATTTAGATTTGTCGTGTCTGTAAATATATCTCCAGATTTACCATTATGACTGGAGCTGCTTCCCGAAAACTCAGAGAATTGCTTGGTGCCTAATGTTCCTTGTCCCACCAACAGCCCATAATTCCCCATAATTCCTCATAAAGCCTAGGCCCATTCAAGGCCTGAATTTATTGTTCACAGGTTTTTCTCACCCAACTTTGGTTTGAGAGGGATAATCCTTCTTTCGCCCGGGATCTCGAATCTCCCTCCATCAAGTCTTCGTGGTTCCACCCAACTTTCCAGAGACTTCTAAACCTCAGGGACTGATGCCATATGCCTTTCCCGATCCCTGCTTTTCTCGTGCTCAAATCAAACCATACTTTCGGCGCTTGTGACGTACAGGTTTCCTTTCACAGGAGCAGGCCATTCATCCCCTCAAAACTGTTGTGCCATTCAGTGCGATCATGGCTGATTTGGTATCTCAGTGCCATTATCATTTGACAAGTAATTCAGCTAGCTGTTTGTGGGAGATTACCTCAGAAAGAAAGAATCACACCCACTGTCTTTTCCATGGAGAAATCTTCTCTCCTCAATGGTCCAGCTCTGATTTGTCCCCCTATCTTAGACTTATCCTTCAGCACAAAAGGAAATTCTCTTTACCTCTCTAATTCCACAATTCTCCAGAACTGGCCTCATCAGAGCTTTCTACAGCTGTAGCAAGACTTTGTCCCTTTAATGTTCTAATCCTCTCTATTCAGAGGGTAACACTCCATTCAACTCTTTGGCTGCTTTTTTTTCTTTCTAATCATTCCATTTCAGGAATCTGTGATCCCGAAATGTACTGTTCCCAGCTTTTCAACATCAAAGGAATACAGAGCCTGATACTGTGTCATTGATTGTTCCCTGTCTGAGTCCTGATACTTTAAATTTGTCTATGGTTTTTTTAACAGCAAAGCTTGAGCTCTGGGTTATCATGCAATCATCTCAGAAATACTCAACTTTATCTGTTTTAAGTCCACAAAGGATGAAGCTCACATTTAGCTGCATTCAAATCCATCTGCCACTGTTCTACACTCCCATTATGTCTGTTTTTAACTTTATGCTTTCAACCAATCTGCTGGCAAATGGCAAGTAACATTTGTGCCACACAAATGTCAGGCAATGGCCATTTCCAATAAGAGACAATCTGACCATCGCCCCTTGACGTTCTGTGGTGTTACCATGACTGAATCCCCCACTCTCAACATCCTGGGGCTTACCATTGACCAGAAACTCAACTCGTCTCACAATATTAATAAATGGGCTACTAAAGCAGGTCTGAGGCTAGGAATACTGCGGCAAGTAACTCACCCTGTGACTCCCCAAAGCCTGTTCACCATCTGTATGTCAGGAGTGTGATGGAATACCCTCCACTTGCCTGGATAAGTGCGGCCCCAACAACACTCAATAAGCTTGACATTATCCAGAACAAAGCATTCCACTTGATTGGCATCACATCCACTACACCACCGATGCTCAGTAGCAGCATTGTGTACTATCTACAAGATGTACTGCAGAAATTCACCAAAGATCCTCAGACAGCACCTTCTAAACCCACAACCATTTCTACCTAGAAGGACAAGGGCGGCAGATACAGGGGGACACCACCCCCTGCAAGTTCCCCTCCAATCTACATACCATCCTGATTTGGAAATATATTACTGTTCCTTCACTGTCACTGGGTCAACATTCTTGAATTCCCTCCCTAAGGGTATAGGGGGTGTATCTCCAGCACATGGACTGCAGCAGCTCACCACTACCTTGTAAAGGGGCTCAGTGGTAAGTGCTGCTGCCTCACAGTGCCAGGGACCCAGTTCAATTCCACCCTCGGATGAATGTCTGTGTGGAATGTGCACATTTTCCCCGTGTTTATGTGGGGTTCCCTCTGGGTGCTCTGGTTTCCCCTACACAGTCCGTAGATGTGTGGGTTAGGTGGATTAGCGTTGCTAAATTTCCCATTGTGTCCAGCGGTGTGCAGAATAGATGGGTTAGCCAATAAGAAATGCAGGGTTACAGGGATGGTGTCGGTCTGGATGGGATGCTCTTCAGTGGGTTGGTGTGGACTCGATGGGCTGAGTGGCCTGCTTCCACATTGTAGGGATTCTATGATTCTGAAGGGCAAGTAGGAATGTGTAATAAATGCTGGCCCAGACAGCAATGCACACATCCTTTGAGTGATTTTTAAACAAAAAGATTGTCTGCACAACTTGCTATTTCATCAATCTTTAGGTCAATGTGAACATATAATCTCATTAATACATACAATAAGTAGTTAAGGCCTCACCACAGAATCCTTGCAGAACACCACTCGTCGCTTCCTTTCTCTGTCGTCTGTCACTAAACCAGTCTCCTAACCAAGTCTAGCATTCATCTTCAATCTCATGGGGTTTAGCTTTAGTTAACAGACTCTCTCTTTTGTGGAAAATTGAGTACTTCTGAAAGTTGATAAAACTATATCTCCTATCGACTACTTTAGTCAATGCATTTGGTTTGTTTGACAGAACCTACCCGTCATGAATCTATGTAGGCAATTTCCAATTCTCGACATGCTTTAGTCTCTCTGCTTTTAATTATAGATTCCAATAAAACCCTCAAAACAGATGTTAGATTGGCCAGTATATAATTTCCTGGGTTCCCTCTCTCCCCTTTCTTGAACCCGTGGAATTACAGCAAAACATCTTCCAAACCAAAGGAATGGTTGCTGCTTTGGAACCTTTTGGATAAAGCGCCTGAAACTTCTTCACCTCCTTCCTTTAAACCCCTGTGGTCCTGGAGATCTGTCAGCTTTTGGAGCTACTCGTTTCCCAGTGCTGTTTCTGGCATGTATCAAGTTTCACGAATTCCAGTCTTTGATCCGTTATTAATCTTTCTGGAATGGCAGGTGCATTATCCTGTCCCTTCACTGTGAAGACTGACACAACTAACTAATGTACAAATCTGCCATTCCTTTACTTTCATTTGTTTTTAAAGGGTTCGCATTGTGCTGAAACACTATCTATCTCCTAACATTAGTGTAAAACCTTTTGTGTTATTTTTGTAACTCCTCACAGGTTTCTTTCTCAATCACCTTTTTTCAACTCTTGGTACCGTTTTTGCCTTCCTTTGCAGTTCTCCCTAACGTCCCTCAGTTGCCTGAATTTTCACTGACATTCCCACATTGGAGTGCTCTCGCCTTTTAGTTTTAAGTTCTCCTCCTTGACTTATTTTGACAGTGATGATGTGTTGACAAGTGGGGACTTGTTCTGTCCTGAGCTGAGTTCATTTTTTAACATCTTCCCCATCTCATCCTTAGTCTGATCTGAGAATAATTTTGGCTGTCATCAGTCTCTGTTGCATTCTGTTTTCATGGGAGGTGGGTATCACTAGCATAGATCAGCATTTGTTACTCGAGACTAATTTTCCCTTGAACTGCTCGCTGACTGAGTTAACCTCATTGCTGTGGGACTAGAGACTGGGTAAGGCCGAGGCTGGACAGCAATCAATGATGATCATCATGGTCACCATTAATGAGGCTTGGTTCGTGATTTTAATCTAAATTCCACCACTCGTCACCGGGGAGATAGTACAGTTCAATAAATTGTGGCAGGACCCCTGTTTCGAATCTCACCTGAAAGGCAACAGACCCCTCAGTTCTGCAGTGGCGGCCCTGACAGTGTGCTCAATGTAGGGATTAGGAGCAGGGCAGAGGCCATTCAGCCCAATCAAGCCCACTCTGCTATATAACATGATAATGGCTGATCTTATCCTGGTCTCAACTCTGCTCTCCTGCTCGCACTCCCCCCACCATTGCCAATTACCCCCGCTTTTCATCTAAAACATATTTATTTCTTTCTTGAATCTCTCTTGATTCTGCCTTCACTGCACTCTGGGGCAGTGAGCTCCACAGACTCACACCCCTCTGAGAGAAGTAGTTTCTCCTCGTTTCAGTTTTGAACCTACCTCCTCTCACTCCACATCCATGACCTCCTGTTTCAGGCTGTCCCGCAAGGGTGGAAGCATCCTGACGTCCATCTTATCAATCCCCTTTCTCACTTCATACTCCTCAGTCAGATCCAGTGAGTACAAGCCCAAGCTATTTAACTGCTCCACGTATGAGAGCCCTTACGTCCCTGGAATCGATCTGGTGGTCTCCTCTGAACTGCCCCCAGTGCCACCACAGCCTCCCTCCAGTAAGGAGACCCAAACTGGACACACTATTCTAGGTGTGGTTTCACCAGTGCCTTATATATTCTCAGGTTTATGATATGTGATCAAGTGTTGATCACGATGGGCCAATGGGCGAGGGGTGGCAGATGGAGTACAATTTGGATAGATGTGAGGTGTTGCATTTTGGTAAGGCACATCAGGGCAGGACTCGCGTGGCTAATGGTAGCATCCTCGGGAGTGTTGCCAAGCAAAGTGACCTTGGAGTGCAGGGTCATAGCTCCTTGAAAGTGGAGTTGCAGGTAATTAGGATAGTGAAGAAGGAAGTTCTGAGGAAGGGTCACCGGACCCGAAACGTTAACTGTTTTTTTCCTTCACAGATACTGCTAGACCTGCTGAGCTTTTCCAATAACTTTTGTTTTTGTTGTGTCTGCAGTGAAGAATTCATTTGGTATGCTTGCTTTTATTGGTCAGTGCATTGAGTATAAGGGTTGGGAGGTCATGTTGCAGCTATACAGGACATGAGTTAGGCCATTTTTGGAATACTGTGTTCAGTTCTGCTGTCCCTGCCACAGGAAGGATGTTGTTAAACCTGAAAGAGTTCAGAAAAGATTTACAAGGATGTTGCCAGGGTTGGACGGTTTCAGCTATAGGGAGAGGCTGAACAGACTGGGGCTATTTTCCCTGGAGCATCGGAGGCTGAGGTGTAATCATATAGATGGTTATAAAGTCATGAGGGGCACGGACAAGGTAAATAGCCAACATCTTTTTCTGAGGGTAGGGGAGTCCAAAACTAGAGGGCATAGGTTTAAGGTGAGTGGGGAAAGATTTAAAAGGGACCTAAGGGGCAATGTTTTCACACAGAGGGTGGTGTATGTATGAAATGAGCTGCCACAGGAAGTGGTGGAGGCTGGTACAATTACAACATTTAAAAGGCATCCGGATGGGTATTTGATTGGGAAGGGTTTAGAGGTATATGGGCCAAATGCTGGCAAGTAGGACAAGATTTATTTAGGATATCTGCTGGGCGTGGATGAGTTGGACTGAGGGGTCTGTTTCCATACTGTGATTCTCTGACTGTAAGTCTCTGATTTAAACAGACAGAGATGTTTAAATGTTCTTTCTAAATGTTTTTGTCTCTTCTGAGACAGAGGTGATAGTGCTACCACTAACCAGGTTATAGTTTGTCCAGGTCTCCACTTTCAGCTGCATGGTTGGGAGTTTGAACTGATTTTAAGCAGTATGGTGGACAGGAGAAAGCAATCCTTCTGATCAAAGCCTCCAGAAATGTGAAGGCAGCATTTATGAGCAATTCGGAACAATGATCTACCAATTAGATCCCGTTGATGTTGTTATTTTGACTCCTGGGGACTGCTGAGTACCAAAGCTCAGCATTTAGGGATTGCTGAGAAATGTCTTCATTGGCTCAGATGTTAATTGTACTTTTCAGGTTCCACAGTTTAATGAAGAGTCCAGAAGATTACAGCTTTGGGTTATTTCCTGACCTGATCATTGCTCTCTACAAGGCCCTGAAGGGCACAGAGTGGGAGAAGTACTTTCCAAAAGAATAGACGCTGTTCCTGCCTTCAAAGGATTGCCGTCTCTTGAGTGTTTCTACAGAGGCTATGAGACAGAACCATGTGCATACTTCGGTGCTAGAAAGGGGGGAGAAAAAAGAACTTGCATTTGTCTCATAGAATCTGTACAGTGTGGAAGCAGGCCATTTGGCACATCAAGTCCACACCACCCTTCCAAAGAGATTCCCACCTAGACCCCCTGCCCTATCTCTGTACTTTCCCATTGGCTAATCCACCTAACCTGCACATCCCTGGACACTATGGGCCAATTTAGCATAGCCAATCCACCTCACCTGCACATCTTTGGACTGTGGGAGGAAACTGGAGCATCCGGAGGAAACCCACGCAGACACGGGCACAATGTGCAAACTCCACACAGACAGTCTCCGGAGGGTGGAATTGAATCTGGGTCCCTGGCACTGTGAGCCATCGTGCCACCCCAAAAGTGCAGCACTTTTTGTCATCTGAGGATGTTTCAACGCATTTTACTGCCAGAGATGTGTACTTGAAACATGAATAAGGTAACATTCATGCCACACAACTGCCAGGCAATGATTATGTTCAATAAGGGAGAATGTAACTGTCTCCCTTTGATGTTTAATGGCTATGTATTGTGCACACGTATTGCCTTTAAGAAAATCCATCTTAAAGGATTCCATGTGCTGTGTATGTAGGGTGTTACACTCGACCTACCAGTTAGTTGTCTGTGAGCCTGCAACCTGGACAAATCGAGAACAGTTGGTTTGCTGTAATGCCTGCTTCATGACTTGTAATGTGTTTTATTGTTTTAAATAAACCAACCCACAGTTAATTGATTCCTGATGAGTCATGGTGAAAGGGGGTGAAAGCACTGTGCAGATGAGGCCTTTTGCACAAGTAACTTAATCTACAGGTGGAAAATATGGTAGACAGTCTTCGATCATGCTAAAGTGTATGAGACAACGTATGGACAAGGAACAAAACTAGGCCTCTTGGCCCTTTGAACCTGCTCCTCGTTCAATAAGATCATGATTGATCTGATTTTAACCTCAACCCTACATTCCCCAATAATCTTTCGTCCCCTCAGTTCTCAAGAATCTATCTACCTTGGCCTTAAAAATATCTAAAGATTCTGTATCCGCTGCCTTTTGAGGAAGGGAATTCCAAAGACTCTCAATCCATTGACAGAAAAACATGTTTCCTCATCTCTGGTTTGAATGGACTCTCCCTTAATTTTAAACTGTGACCCCCTAGTTCTGGATCCTCCCTCATCCCTTTCCACATCCACCGGGTCAAGTCCCCTCAGGATCTTACATCTTTCAGTCAAGTCTTGCATTCGAATTCTCCTCACAATATACCATAACATTCGATGAGTTTTCCTGACTACTTGCTATACCTACATACTAACCTCCTGTTATTTGTGTACAGAGACCCAGACGTGGTTCTGGTGACCTAGGTTCAAATCCCACCACGGCAGATGGTGGAATTTGAATTCAATTTAAAAAAGAAAGTCTGGCATTAATAGTTTAATGATGACCATGAATCCACTGTCAATTGTTTGAAAAACCCATCTGGTTCACCAATGTCCTTTAGGGAAGGAAACTGCCATCCTTACCTGGTCTGGCCTACATGTGACTCCAGACCCACAGCAATATGGTTGACTCTTAACTGCCCTCTGGGGCAATTAGGGATGGACAATAAATGCTGGCCTGGCCAGTGACACCCTCATCACATGAATGAATTAAAAAGAAAAATCTGACTATCCCAATTGACTGAAGGATTAAAACCACTTGTAATTAATGAACAGCCTTTGTTACATGCCCTGATTATCTCCTGATTTATTCTCTTTCCCACTGTATAGCTACTGTTAGGAAGCTTGTAGACTGTCGCTGCCAGCTCTTGGATCTCTTCCCCATTTGTGCTGCTTTCCAGAACATAAGCCTCTTCCTGATCCAGCATCCACTCCTGACCTCTCACACTGTTCAACAGCCTCCACTCCTCACTCAGGCCTGTTTAAGACCAGAGGGCATAAGATTAAGCTGAAAGCATTTTTTGACCCAGAGTGTGGTAAATATATGGAACTTGCTGCCTGAGAGGGTGGTGCAGGCAGAAAATCTCACAGCATTTAAAAAGTATCTGGATGAGCGTTTAAAAGGGCAGGGCATAGTAAGCTACAGACAAGTGCAGGTAAATGGGATTAGTGTAGTTAGGTATAACACAGTGTGGAGCTGGAGGAACACAGCAGGCCAGGCAGCATCAGAGGAGTTGATGTTTCTTCAGAAATGGGGGAGGGGGAAGGGAGCTCGGAAATAAATAGCGTAAATAGTGTAGTTTGGTGTTAGTTGGTCAGCATCGACATGGTGGGCCGAAGGGCCTGTTTCTTTGCTGTATGACTGTTGAACCCGGGCCCCTGTGAGGCAGCAGTGCCAACCACTCTGCTGCCCATACTGAGCGAGGCACACAACAAATGCACATAAGAGGCTATAAGAATTCAGCTCTTCCTGATTTTGAAAACCCCACCACCACATCACCCAGTTAGCAAATTAAAACAAACGATGGGTTGCAAGGACAGCTCGTTGAGGGGCAGCAGTCAAATAAATAAACGTAAAGGAAGAGAGGGAGGGGACTGAATTAAAATGGAGCGTGAAGTGAGTGGGTGGAAGCTGTGAATGGATATCTACCTGCCAGAGTGGCCTCCACCTGTTAACTGTGTTCAGGAAAGTTTCCTCAAGCAGTATACAGAGGGTCCTACTCAGGAAGGGGCAAAACCTGACCTACTGTTAGGAGATAGGGCAGGACAGGTGACAGAGATGACAGTGGGGGAGCACTTTGGGACCGATGACCACAGCTCTATTAATGTTAAAATAGTGATGGAGAAGGATAAAACTGGTCCATAGGTTCAAGTTCTAAATTGAGGCAAGGCAATTTTTGATGGAATTAGACAGGAGTTTGCAGGGTTTGCTTGAGGTAGCTTGCAGGCAAAGGGACCTCTGGCAAGTGGGAGGCCTTTAAAAGTGTGATAGCTAGAGTTCAAGGTCTGTATGTCCCTGTGAGGGTGAAGGGCAAGGTTGGCAGGAGTAGGGAATCTTGGATGACAAGAGACATTGAGGCTTTGACGAGAAAAAAGGAGGCGTGGCTCAGGTACAGGCAGCTGGGATCAAGGGAATCCCTGGAGGCATAGAGGGGGTACAGGGATTTACTGAAGTCGGAAATTAGGATGGCGAAAAGGAGGCATGAAATAGCTTTGGCTGAGAAAATTAGGATGAATCCAAAGAAATTCCTCAGGTATATTAAAGGAAAAAGAATAACTAGAGAGAGAATAGGATCCCTCTAGGGCTAAAGTGGATGTATATGTGTGGAACCACAGGTGATGGGCGAGGTCCTCAATGAATATTTCTCCTCTGTGTTTACTATGGAGAAAGACATGAAGACTTGGGATCTTGGGGAAGTTGGTGGCGACATCTTGAGGACAGTCTAGAGGAGGTGTTGGAAGTAATAAAATGTATGAAGATGGATAAATCTGGTCCTGACCAGGTATTTCCAAGAACCCTGCAAGAATCTAGAGAAGAAATTGCGGGGGCCCTGGCTGATATATTTGGATCATCGTTAGCCGCAGGTGAGGTCCCAGAAGACAGGACGGGAGCGAATGTTGTGCCCTTATTTAAGAAGGGTTGCAAAGAAAAACCTGGGAATTTTAGACAGTAAGCTTAACATCTGTGATAGGTAAGTTACTTAAGAAGATTCTGAAGGATAAGATATACAGGCATTTAGAAAGATACGGTTTGATAAGGAGTAGTCAGCATAGCTTCATACATGGGAGATCATGCCTCACAAATTTGTTAAGAATTCTTTGGTGAAATGACCAGGAAGGTTGATCAGGGGAGGGTGGTAGATGTAGTCTACACGGATTTCAGTGAGGCCTTTGATAAGGTTCTACATGGTGGCTGCTCTGGAAAGTTAGATCGCATGGAATCCAGGGAGAGTTGGCAAATTGGATACACAGTTGGCTTGATGGTAGGAAGCAGAGTGTAATAGCAGAAGGATGCTTGTCAGACTGGCGGCTTGTAACTAGCAGTGTGCCTCAGGGGTCAGTGCTGGGCCCATTGCTGTTTGTTATCTATATCAATGATTTGGATGAGAATGTACAAGGCATGATAAGTAAGTTTGCAGATGACACTAAAATAGGCGATATCATGGACAGTGAGGAAGGTTATCAGAAATTGCAGCAGGATCTTCATCAGCTGGAGAAGTGGGCTGAGAAATGGCAAATTGAGTTTAAAATGGGTAAGTGTGAGGTGTTGCATTTTGGAAAGTCAAATCAAGGTAGGAGTTTCATGGTGAATAGTAGGGCCTTAAGGAGTGTAGTGGAACGGAGGGACCTTGGAGTTCAGGTGCACAGTGCTCAGAAAGTGGAGTCACAGGTAGACAGGGCAGTGAAGAAGGCTTTTGGTGCACTGGCCTTCATTAGTCAGGGCATTGAATATAGAAATTGGGAAGTTATGTTGCAGTCTTACAGGACATTAGTGAGGCCTCGCTTGGAGTATTGCGTTCAGTTTTGGTCATCTTGCTGTAGGAAGGATGTTATTAAACTGGAAAGAGTGCAGAAGAAATTTACAAGAATGTTGCCAGGACTCAAGGAACTGAATTGTAGGGAGAGGTTGGATAAGCTAGGACTTTTTTCTTTAGAGCGTAGGAGACTGAAGGGGGGAATCTTATAGAAGTGTATAAGATCATGGGAGGCATGAATAGGGTCAATGCACTCAGTTTTTTTCCCAACTTTGAGGAATCGAGGGATAGAGGGCATCAGTTTAAGGTAAGAGGGGAAAGAATACATGGGAACCTGAGGGGCAACTTTTCTATACAGAGGGTGGTACACATATGGAATGAGCTGCCAGGGGATGTGGTTGAGGCGGGTACATTAACAACATTTAAAAGGCATTTGGATGAATACATGGATAGGAAAATTTTAGAAGGATATGAGCCAAGTGCAGGGAAATAGGGTTAGTGTGGATGGACATTTTGGTGGGCATAGACCAGTTCAGGCAGAAGGGCCTGTCTCCACGTTGAAGGACTCTATGACTCTATGATCTGGCAATCTATTTTATGCTACATAGAAACACAGAAGATAGGAGCAGGAGAACATCATTCGGCTCCTTGAGCTTGATCTGCCATTCCATACGATCATGCTGATCATCAAGCTCAAAACTATAATCCCCTGCTCCCCCAATATCCTTTAGCCACAAGAGCAAAATCTACCTCCTTCTTGAAAACATAATGTTTTCGCTTCAGCCACTTCCTGTGACAGAGAATTCCACAGGGTCACCACTCTCGGGGTGAAGACATTTCCCCTCATCTCTGTCAATAAAGTTAACCCCTAAACCTTAAACTGTGACCCCTGGTTCTGGACTCCCCCACCATCGTGAACATCCTTCCTCCATCTAACTTATCCAGTCCTGTTCGAATTTTATATGTTTCTATGGGATTCCCTTCCTTCACTCTTCTAAACTCCACTGTATACAATCCTCACCAACTCTACTCTCCTCATACGTCGGTCCTGCCATCGCAGCATTCAAATGGCTTTTAGGAATTAATATTAATCAGCCCAGTGAGGAAAACAGACTTTGAGGGTCAGGGTTACAAGACAACTTTTGCCGATTCTAAAATCCAGGCTTCTGTTGCAGTAATCTCAATGGAACCATTGGACACAGTCTTACAACAGCAGAAGGTGTAGACAGGGGATGTAGATGGAGGGTGTACACAGTGGGTGTAGACGGAGAGTGTAGACAGAGGGAATAGACAGAGAATGCAGACAGTGGGTGCAGGTGATGGTGTAGAC